CCAATGGGATACATCCGTATCACAGAAGTCTACTGGATGGAGAGCTGATTAGAATACGTTAGAAAACAAGTCCTGGACTGGCAAATCCTCAAATATTTATGCACTGAGCGCATTACAGGCATTCACTCAAGCAAAAGTTCTTTTTTCTTTGCTATTCCTGTCTGGCATCAAGCAGAACCAATGTTCTTTAATTTGCCAGAAAACAGACATCAAGCAGCATAGTCTCAAAACACAGATGGATCTTCAAATCAAGACATATTACTGTGTCAGAGGGCATAGCTTGGAACTTGGATTTTTTGTGATCTCTAAACTACAGAAACAGCAAAACAAAATTCCCCAAAGACTCTGCCTTGACACTGCACCAAAGAAGAAAACTCTTTCAGACTCTTCAGGAAATAAAATAACAGGATCGATCATGATAAGAGGCTGTGGCATACACAGAAATATTAGACTGTACTATGGTCAGCTTCATTTCCTACCAAAAGTAAAACAAGTAACAGAGAATTAAAGCTGTGCTTCCAGACCGCAAAGGACTACTAATTAATTTATTCCCCAGGTCCCTTCTAGCAGGGAGACTCCTGTGTTTCAAAGTACTCAATGAATAAGACAAGTTTATTTCATCAGCTTCCCCAAATAGCCAGAAAAGAGCATTTCTCATCTCAAAACATAAAGCATACAGAAAAAAAGAGCGCTTATATGCTGTCTGGAATGATATCCTGTAATATGTTGCCTCTGATGCAGGTTTAGTTTCAATAAACAATGGTAAAGGCTGAAACCTGTGACAGTTTCAGGGAAGGAGCAGTAAAGCCAAAACCTGCAAAAATTGCAAGGAGTCGTTCTGAGGTACATTTCCAAGCAGATGATCTACAACAGCAGTTTGTGGAGTGTGGGGAGAGAATTTTCATGGCAAGATGACAAATCACCAAAGAGCGAGTAGTCAGATACCCGCCAGCAGCCTCAGCTCCAGCCCCACTGGTTGCACTGTTGGTTGGGCCTGAGCCTGAAGTGGAAGTGTTTGAGAACCTTCTTCCTGGGCAGAACCAGCTTACAGAGATAAAAGTAACAGAAACTCAATATCAAAGTTTGACCAGTTCTTGCACCTTTTTAATACACTGCAGAAGTCAAACGGGGGCTCCCAATGTCAAAGCCCCTCTCCCACACGAGCTGCCCAAATGAAGAGCACCCAGCGCCGCATGGCAAATGTGAGCGGCCACGGCTCACACTGCCACAGCTGCTGCTCATTCAGCCCAGCAAGACACATGCACACGGAGTGCGGTTATCTTAGCCTAAATACAAGAAAACCCACAGCACACAGCACTAATTTTACAGTAGCCTGAAGAAATAGTGGTGTTTCACAAATGCCTGTCTGTGGAGAGGTGCAGTTTCTGACAGAGAGGCGGTGGGAGGCCCTGCAGCAGCCCCACACCCTTCCCAAATGGCTCCGGCCAGCTGCTGAGCTCACAGCAGTGCTGCTTGGCTGCTTCTTTGGAAGCTGTTATTCAGAGAACACCTATGTTGGCACAGGTCTCTGACTGAAGTGGCACTAATATGGGGCAGAGAATAAAAACACCCTTATCAGATACCAGAGGGCAAGGCGCCGGAGAGGTGATGAGCATTTATGGAGGAATCATTTCTAGGAAAGCCATCATCTGCAGAAGGCAATAGTGATAAGAGACACTAACCCCAGTGGAACAGAAGCCGCTCCCCAGTTTTCAAATTCCCAACCGGTGAAGTTTCGTAAGATGTTTGATCACAAGCACACCTTCAAGCCATAAACTTACTCCTGAATCAGCACTTCCAAGAAAGGAAAGGGATCAGATCTAACAGCAGCACCATTTTCAGCACACGTTCTGAAAAGTGACTTTGTATAGAAGGCAGTTGCTGCAGTGGGGGCTCTGCCCACTCCTCATCAATCTCGGTGCTACCTAAGGGCCTGGGAACCCAACAGCCTGCCAACACACAGCACAGTAGCCACGTGGCCAAACAGCTCCTGGGGGACAGGCACACACCAGGACCAGATGCTGGTTCTCAACAGGTAGGCTGGGCAATGCAGGAGAGAAAATGCTCCGTGGTTCTCATCTCAGACCCATTTGCAATTTCACCAGTTAGGCGGCAGCTTAGCCCAGGTGTGCCAACGCTCACCACTGGTTGAGCAAACAGCAATTAGCAAAACAGACTGGAAAAATGGCAAACAGAGAAAAATGCTCCACATATCATACAGTCTATAAAAGTGATCTAACCAACGTTCCCGGAAGTCATCAAAATCTGCAAAAATATCCTGCATATGTGAAACTAATGATTTCTATTATTTTACATTTCCTGATAATATTTCCCCTTCTGCTGCTGAAAATAATTTGAGAACTCTCCTGCTGCAACATACTCAGAGAAAAGAAAAATCCATTTCAAGATCTCCGAGCACCACCAAAAGAGAAAAATCACATGTACAGTCAAATAAGAGACAGAAAACCAAAGGTAAAACATGCAGATAAAATATCTGGGCGCTGTCTTGCATAGTTACTTAACAAAGCTTGTGTCTATAAATACATTTCAAGGTTGCTATTGCCAACACAACTGTAAATATTTAAAAAGAAACACATCATAGCCCTTGGACTAAGGCACCTATTTTTCCACACCCAGCAGAGAGGTTTGCCTTTATCACAGTGTGTATCAGAGTATTAGTTCACCCTTGAAATTCCCCATACATGACACAAAACGCGCTTCAATCAGAAGAATTAGAAAAAAATATTTTTTTCAGCACGATTTTTGATTTTTATACACATCCAATCCAATCACAATGAAATAATTTGCATTACGCTATGCTTCCTCTTAGAGCTTACTGATAACTTTCTTCACCCTCCAGATAACCAGGTAACAGCAGCCTGAAGTTCCTTCTTGTGTACAAACACTGCAAGTTTGTTTTTCTTCCCTGTAACTACAGTCTCCTCTCCATGGTTCCCACTGTAATCCAAACTTCCTGGTTTGAGTAAGGCATCTAATCTTAATGACACCACTACAATATTGGGCCAGCCACCTGAACGTGTAGGTCCACGCTATAAAACTCCTTCATAAAAGATCTTCTGTGTTGTGTTTATGCAGGATGTTCTACAGGAGCTGTAAAGCTAAATTATCTGCTGGAATTAACCCTGCTCAGAACAGGAGTGCTTGTGCATTTGGTGACCATCTCGCTTGAGATATTTTTACAATGCATTCCTCCACTCCATGCTCAATTCACCCCTAAGCTGCTTATGCAGATACTAAACTGAACATGTGATTAATCTGTGTATCCTTACTCTTCCAAAACATCTGATAAAGACAAGCAATAGGTCGCTCTGTCCCTGTGGGATCGCAGCAACCGATCCTTATAAACCTTGTAATTCCCCCGATTAATCCAGCTCCTAGAGGCGCTCCAATACTGGTGAATCCTCCTGTTCCAGATATTTTTCATTCATATCTCAAACACAGTTTCTGTTCCGTGGCCTTCAGCTACATAAGGCTGATGGATAGTGACAAAGCTCTGCCACCCAAGGATTTCTCCAAACCTATCATCTCTGCTATCAAAAGAATTTCCCCTGGAATTTGTTACTATGACAATGTATTGCTCTGGAGATATGACGATGGCAGAGAGGATTTACATTTTTCTACCCATTACTGAAGTTTTTCTACACATGAGAAAGCAATCACACACATATGGGTTTACTGTTTTTCCTAAACGCACGGGGAATGTCCAGCTTCTTGCAAACATATCAGAAATATATACCAAAAAATGACTTTGCCACGTAGCTGCCAATAACGAAAAGAATTCAACAGCTACTGATAGCCTGCATCAGACTTGTACTGATGCTCTGCAGTCACTGGTAGGTGATTAAATGGGTATTTCAGAGGGCCATGGGAAGATTAAGCTGTATTTGACAGTGGAACTGCTCAATGATATTCAGCCAAAAACAAGAGCGAGACCCCACGACCTTCCACACAGAACAGCTCCCCAGCAAGCACTGCGATCCCCCTGCTCCCAGCTGCGTGCATTTCTGGGGATGTTCTGCTGGGCAGTTAGAAGGGATGGGCATCCCCACCCTGTGTGCTGCCTGGCCCTGCGCTGTTACTTGATGCAGAGCCTCTGAACAGACCCAAACGGGCACCACTGAAACACCCCCGAAATGCAACACAGCCAACAAAGGCAGGCTCTGGAAACAGACCGTGTCCACCCCCACGGTTACAGGCACGACGCCACCATTCACGTTACTCAGCTCAGATCGAGATCGTGGGGGAAAGGAGCAGCGGAAGCCATCTGGGACGGTGGCCGCGTGGAAAACGTTTCCCAGAGCAGCTGAGAAGCATCGGCCCGCGCTGCGGCCGCGGCCCACCAACAGCCGGCCGGCTCGCCCCAGGCCGGGAGCTCATTTCAGAACAGGGGAAAAAAACAACGCACATCATTCCGAGCCGGGCGGAGCGCCGCGCCGGCCGCGGGCCCCCCGAACTTCCGGCCGCGCGGTTGCCAGGCAGGATTACCGTCTCCGTGGCAACCGCCGCGCAGCCCGGGGCCGTCCCCTCGCCAGGCAACGCGCGGCCGCGCCGCCGCCGCCGCACCTGCCGGGCTACGCGTTGCCGTGGAGACGCCGCGTTGCCGTGGCAGCCAGCACGCCAATAGGCGCGAGGGAAGGCGGCCGCCCCGCTCCGGCAAGCCGCGGCCCCGGCGAGGCGCCGGGCGGGGCTCGAAGCAGCCCCGCGGGAGCCGTCGCGGCCGCCGCTCGTTCCCGAGGGGTGCCGGGCCGTGCTCCGGCCCGATACGGGCACCGCGCCCCGAACCGGCACCGCCGCCGGCCGCGAGCACCTGCCCGGTACGACCGGCGCCCGCCGCCCCGCGCGCGGCCCCGGGCTGGGACGAAGCGTCCCCCCGCACCCCGTGGGGTCGCGGCGGCCCCGGCCTGCCCAGCGTCACCGCGTCCCTGCCCCGCGCCACAGGCAGCTTCAGGAAAATAGTTGTAAAATCAGCTAGGTCTTACCTTTGATATGCCTGAGGAGATGTGGGAGGTGTATTGAACACATGCGAGTATGGGTGATAGGGTGTCTTTTTCAAAGCCTGAATAAGATTTTGTCTATATTCTGGGTCTATACACCACAAGGACCCCTTTCCAATACTCTGCAAAGAAAAAAGAATTAAAAAAAAAATCAAATATTTGATCTAATGGCACAGCCTTATTCATTTAGCAGTTGTCAGGATAGCAGCGGGTTGGGTTCCTGGTCTGACAGCGGTGAACACAGTTTGCCTGCCAGAGATATTGCTCCATTAATAAATACTGTGACTATGGTTTAAATCACACTTCCTTGGGGGAAACAAAAAACAAAAAACAAAAAAAAAACAACTAAGAACGCACGTTCAACTGCTTCCCCGCCACCCCTTATTAGTTAATATGATTTAATGGCATCTGGCAATTTCCCTGTCACCCTATACTGGAACAAAACAAAGCTACGATTACTGGTAGATGGAAACTTTGAAGAGAAGCTGATTCTTTTTTGAAAGTGATTTTATTTTCCTTTTGTGCTGCTATGCTAACGAGAAACAAGAGCTGAAAAGGAGGGGTTTAAACACCCTAGCAACTGTTTTAAAAATAAAAGGATTTAATCCTTCAGCCGCATGACATTGGTGCCATTATATTACACGAAATTAATCATCTTTTCTCTCCTAAGGAAAGAAAATACACCCCCAGAACCCCAAACAAAACAAAACTGTAAAACCAGAGCTTAAACCATGTTGGGGTGTTGTGAAATCAGAGTTGGTGGTTCCAGCAGCAGTGACTGCCACATCCCTTCCTAGACGCAAGGGAACACATGGAGCTGGCAGCCTGCAGCAGGAAGGCCACAACGCCACTCAGCACCACTGCAGCCCTCAGCCCAGCGTAGGCCAGGGCAGACACCCAGGGATGTTCAAATGCACAAAAGTACACCTCTTGCTAGGCTGCACTGAGAGCGCACAGGCAGATCAGAACAGCCCTGTTCAAGAACATGTCACACCAGCAGCAGTCCTCACTATGGACAGAGCTCCTCACGAGGCTCTCAGGCTATTAAGGATGTGTTTCTGGCAAACGCTGGTATTTTGGAGCCAGTGGAGAGGCCGTACTCCATCCCCGTGCCGGCTCCAGCTCAGGGCACCCTATGCTGAGCTCCAGCTCGTGAGCATCCAGGCTGGATGTGTCACTGGGCAGCCTGGTCTAGTGGTTGGCGACCCTGTCTACAACAAAGGGGTTAAAACTAGATGGTCTTTGAGGTCCTTTTCAACCCAGGCCATTCTATGATTCCATGGTTCTGGTGTTCCCATGTCCAACGGCCAGCACACACACACACCACAGATGAGAATGAATGAAGACGACTGTTTCTAAAGCCAGGAGGAAGGTGCAAACCCAACACCCGTTTCCTTTGGAGAAAGAGCCCTGCAGCCCCTAAATGCTGCCCTGCTTTATGGGTGGCTTTGGGACACACCAGTGGGATACACTTAGTGCTTGCAGAGCTCCTTCTGAGCTGGCATGCTGCACATCTGCACAGAACCACCCCGCAAACAAAACCAGAAAAATAAGAAAGAAGCTTCCCGAGCCTCACTAGATTGCTACGTGGGAGCACCTCACAAGCTCACAGCACTGCCAGAGTCATGGCCTTCATTCAAAGCCAAACCCACCTGCAGGGGGCAAGGAACCAGGTTCTGCAGGGAACTGGGAGCTGGGAGAGCAGCTGGGGGTTGGCCAGCCTCTAGGCTGGCAGAAGTCGGCCAGAAGGCTCCAAGTGGCCCCAGAGGGACAGCGCAGGGAGAGGCTGGGCCTGCAGGGCCTGGGGGCTCCAGGAGAAGCAGGCCTCGGGGCTGCTGCCTGGGCCTGGCACTGTGCAGGTGACTGAACACCCACCACAGTGTCATGGGGAGCTGTGTGCCCCATGCCTCACACCAAGAGCCTGTGATGTTTAGCTTTCGAATGTGGGACAGTAAGCCAGAGTCTTGGCACAGTAAGCCTAGGAAGTGACCTTTTAGGCAAAGGACAGACTCAAAAATAGAATCCAAATCTCTCAAATTCCACTTCCATGCTCCATCCAAGAGGCAGAGCAAGAACACCACAAATTTTCCTTTTAAGCAGGCAACACGCAAAGCTTGGAACGTTTTTTTCAGGAGTAAACCTTTGCTGGATTCCTTACACTTTACAGCATGGGACAAGCTTTAAAAATGCTACACTTAAACAACACCCTGTGTACTTGTACTTGCTGGAACACAACATGCTGTTTCCAAGCCTCTGTGTTCTTTCCTTTCATCCAAGTCATCTACCTGGCCGTGATCTCCCCTGGCCCCCCCCAGACCGAGCACGAATCGAGGGGTTTACAGGGTGAGGTCACTGCTGAAGGCTGACTTCAAACCAGGCATTGCTGCTATGCTGCATTTGTTTGGCTTGCAGATATTCTTGTGAAAGCCAAAAATAATCTCACTGGAAAACAGAAACTCTCACACAAGAGATTGGGAAGGTATTCTTGTTAGAAGAAGCACTGAGAAGGCAGTGCTATATTTTTTTGCTAATATATTTTGCCCTATTTTCACTGAGCTGAGCTGATTTATAATTTAGCAGCAACAATGAACACAATTTAAAGCAAAGCTCTCCAACCATGCAAAGTTCCTTTTTTAAGATATTTACCTTTGCTCTTCCACTCTCACACAACAGACAGAAACACAAAGAAAACTGAAGTGTTCCCTGGTTAAGACTCCTTCCTGACAGGTGTGAACAGCTCCGTTAGCTGTTTGAAGATGTGTCATTAGTCTTCCATACACAGAGCAGTCACAGGAAAGGAAATCACTGGAACTCAGACCAATCCGTTAGTGATTAATTTCCATCTTATGACACTTGGCGTGCTGCTTCACTACCTCCTCCAAGCCAAAAGTCAATAGTGTCTCCAATCAAAAACCAGCAAGAAAGGAAAAAAATCCCTGGATAGTATTTGTCTCCCAGGCAACAAGTGAGCAAGGAATGGATACCAGCCCAGCAAACTCAGCACTGGAGTGCTGCAGCCCGTCTGGCTGTGCCTCCGGATCCCAGGCACAGTACTCAGCCCCTGGCACCTCCTGTTCAGCTGGGGCTGCTCCTGTATCCGTGGTTCAGGTTGTTGCTAACAAGGACAGCGCTACCAGGAGTCCCCTCACCTTATCCAAGAGCAGGCTGTAACCACAGGCAAGCCATTCCAAAGGTATAACTATCAGAGAGAGAAACCAACACATGGAAGTTACCCCATGAATACTTAGGGTTTAATATTTTCTACAAGAAGCTTCCTGATTTACTAATTATCGTGAAGATATTGTTATTCCTTTTTCTGTTGTCTACTATGCATACAAACTGTATTTAGGTATTGTTCTTTTTGATAGCTGAAATACCCAAGGTTGACTTCCTTCCAGCCATTAAAACTGGTGCATTACCGAGAATAGGTGTGAGACATTCAGTGTCCAATTTCTTTTCCCCTCAAAATGGACTGCATACAAAAGTTTTAAAATCCTATTTACACAACCTGGTAAGGTCCAAACCAAAAAAAAAGTTTGGTCCTGTTAGTAGAAAAAGCTGTTTGGAACTTTTTTTAAAAAAGAAAGAAAGAAAGCTGCTTGTTAGCTCTTTCAGTCATTAGAGTTAACAGCATTATCTGCTATTAAAACTCTTCATTATAAAGATTTTGCTACCATATACCTCACACCGCTGACAGCCTAGCCCTATGCAGTACTCACCATCTGCCCAAAGCTCCATAAAAAAAAAGGTCTCTTTCCAGGATCAACGGCTGGGAAAAACACAGACCCTGTCTATATAAAAATTCTGGCAAATGCTTACTTGAGGAATTTCATTCCCTGGTTGTTTTAGCACTGACTTGAAATTTGTTAGGAACGCAGCGTGTTTCCACAGTGGTTCTTTTTAATGCCAGACAGTCCATTCCAAATGAAGCTTGGGAAAGAGAGCAGATTTAGAAGCCACAAAGCATGCAGGTTCGGAGTTGGACAATCACAGCTGTGCCACTGCTTGACTGCCTGGGTCCAGTGGGGCACCGTGCTGACAGAGGAGAGCAGCAGCACAGGGCTGCTCACAACCCACAGCAGGTCTCTGCCTGGTGCCCAGTCCCTCTCCTCAAAGAAGATCCATGGGGACTGTCCCCTTCTGCAGGACGAGCCAAGGTGACACAGCAATGTTCCTCTTGGCACAGCACCAAGAGGAAAAATGGGGCTCTGGCCGGGCACAAACCAGCTGGGAATGGTTTGCCAGGCAGGCAGAGAGCAGGCACGCAGGGGGAGCTGGGACAAGCCGGGCAGCTGGCTTTCAGTCAGTGAGCTTGTTGGTCCAAGGAAAAGAATCCAACAACTGCCCCCTAAGATGAACTGCCAAAATAGAAGGGGATGAACGCTTAGGACTAAACTCTCCAAAACCAAAGTTATCAATGGAATAAACTAGGAATGCCACCATTACCCAAATCGAGTGGTGCACATATACACTATCATTTCTGACTATTCTGTCCTGATTACTTTGGCACTTTATGAACTATGAAAGTGAGTAGAAAAAGCAGAAACTTCCTGTTAGTTGAAAAAGAACATTTCCAATTAGCATCTGCAGTCCCAAGTCATCACGTCTTGAAATCATAGGATGGTGGCACATCAGTCCCTGGCTAGGTCAGTGTGAGCCAGTGCAGTCATTAACACAGGACCTCTGAATAACACTAATGACACTTTCTTGCAAAGATAAGGAATCATTTGGTGTCAGTCATCCCCATTACCGATATAACAGTTTGCTCTCAGCACGGATGAAACCTACTATTGTTACAGCAAATGACCTCTCTGCAAGTAATAGCAGAGAGATTACTGCGTATCAAAGGTTCTTATTCTGGATAAATATTTATCCCGTGCTCACTGTGCCCCTCACAGTAGAGGACTTGAAGCAAATCTTCACTCAGTTTTGCCAACGTGTTTACCCACAGGAATGCCGTACAGCTCTCCCATAGCATCCAAGTGTGCCACCCACACACAGAGGTGTTTCTACAGGATCAAACTGTAGTGAGCCAGTTTTCAAAAGGAAAGCTTCAATAAAAGAACTGGATGATGGAAATACACGTGATGCCACCACACAATGTAAAGTAACCTCTCAAGTA